CAAAATGTGATATTACTGTTAAATTCTACTGTTTTTTCTCTGTAAGAACACATTTCTTTTTTACAGTGTATATTACAAATATATTTGCTGAACTGTTGTTGTACCAAATCACATATGTATTTTCATAAAGCCATCAGTTATCTTTGTTATTGTCTGTTTTGGAGTATGTACCTGTAAATAATTGCATCAATTTAGTGCTATAAAAATATAGAAAGGAGCCTGCCAGTGTGATTTGTATTTGTCAGTTTGTTCCATTTCTCAATTTTGGTAAATTATTACTTAAGATGGGCATTTGTTTTCCCAGTATTTCAAAGGGAGCGAGGTATGTTCTGACCTGAAGCACAAGAAAAGCTAAAATGGTGAGGTTAAACACAGAAAATACTTTTTGAGAAGATTTAATTTTCACAAGTGTGAGCTTTTGTAATTCCTTATTAAATAAATGTAACTATCTAATTTAACTATCGAGATTTTAAGTATCTGGATTTTTTTTTGTACACCATGTAGATCATAAACCACTGATATCAGCTGATAAAAACAAACGTTGTCATATTTTTATACAGAAAAACCGCAGCTCTCCCTGTTCGTTGCACTTGTTTACAGGGAACTCTTGCCCGCACCAATATGGCGGACGCGTTGACATATCGCAGCAATGGACCGAAACGGCCAATGAGGCGTCTAGGTATTTATATGTCTGTGGTTGAACCGGTTCACAAACAGGACTTAAAGATTCGTTTAGGTCCGGGGAAAAAAATAGTTCGGACATGACCGATTCGTAAGCCGAAAAGAGAAGATAATCAGAAAGAGAAGGTAACGTTAATATGAATTTTCAAAATGAACTGAGAATTTAATGAGGCGAAAAGTAAGTTACTTTAATAGCCGAATTGCAGAAATGTTGCCATTTAAAACCAATCAGAAATATGTTTACAGCTTCATTGTATGTCTTTATTGTTTTATCAACATACGAAAGCGAGTTTTGGTTTTAAAAAATATATTTGTATTAACACATGCAAAAGAAGTGTTAAAGCCAAGAAATGTAAACCCAGCTAACAATTTTTGGTTCCCAGAACGTTATTTTTTTAATGGTTTGTTTGTGGTTAGCCAGGAAAGTTTTCTTAACGTTAATCTAACGTTCCCATAACGTTATTATAACGTTCCCCTAATGTTAGTTTTTGGTTCCCAGAACGTTATTCTAACGTTCCCCTAACCTCTTTACTCCGATATGATCTCCCCGCTGTACGTCAGTAATCATTCAGCACACTCGTGACCCAGTATAGTATAAGCTGCATGGAAATTACCTGTATAGACGACTATTCAATATTATAAAAACCACATCTTGTTTTTATCTATTGTTTAAGTAATAATCTGAGCACATCAACCATCATATGTAAGATTAAATAAGATTAAATCTGTCCATTAATATGTAAGATTCCGGAGTACCCAGATTTGACATTTCTTCAGCACCAAATAAAAGTGACTTCAACACAATGTATGGTTCATAAAATATGACATTTATTCATATATATATATATATATATATATATACAGTGGGTACGGAAAGTATTCAGACCCCCTTCAATTTTACACTCTTTGTTATATTGCAGCCATTTGCTAAAATCATTTAAGTTAATTTTTTTTCCTCATTAATGTACACACAGCACCCCACATTGACAGAAAAACACAGAATCGTTGACATTTTTGCAGATTTATTAAAAAAGAAAAACTGAAATATCACATGGTCCTA